AACCAAAGCAAAAAGCACCACACAGTAAAAAGAACTGATTCCAACTTAAGTCCCTCAGCTAGCTGTCTTTACTGTTTCTTCTTGTGACGGCTCTTTCGACCATCAGTGGGAGCACCAGTGACAGGCATTCCAGCCTTGACTGCCTTGCTCCGGGAATAGATTTTTGCACCCTCGGGGGAAATGAACACCTTGTATACATTCCCTTCTTGCTTGCCACCCTTCCGCACACGCGTCTCAATCACCCAATCCTGTACATCAGCACGTTCAATGAGTTCATAATTCCTTAGTTACTGCAGCTAATGTTTTTGTTGTGATATGCATTTGAAACAACACCAAAGTTTCACAGTGACAAAGCAAGTGTTCTAAGAGTGTGGTAGCTACTGTGGTTGCGAGAAAGTTTGAAGCTGAGTTTCAAACTTTTTGGCTTTCCCTGCTTTTGACGTAAGAGCGCTAACTGATCTTCAGGGCATGGGACTCTGCAGTTGGCCTTTGATAGTGCAACCGCTTGAATCCTATTTATTGCTACCTTGAACGATGCGAACGGAAAGTCCTGGTGGTGGACGGTCGTTGAGCTCTCATCAGCTTCCTTCGAGCAAGGGGGCAGTGAGTCGAGGGATCAATCATGCATGCATGGCACTTTGTTGGGAGTGGTGCAGGAAATGGAGGAGACTATTGGCTGCTCTAATGGAAACTCAGGCGCCTTGGGCTTGGAGGAACTGGGCACAACGGCATCCGTGGGCTCATCAGGGTCTTTGGTAGCCACAGGACTTCCTTGGCGTTTGGTGCAGCAAATGGTGAACCTGAATATATTTGCTGTTTTATAAACGAATCCCCACACATGTATAACCAATTGTTAAGTCTAGGATCTCCAGCTCTTTGTTCGACGTCGGTGTTTTGGGACAGGAAGTGCCAATGCATTCTGCGACGGATGGTCCTGGTCCTGTGTCTCCCTCTTTTCAGTCCTTTTCTTGCCTTTGTCTTCCTTAACAGCCTTCACCTTATCTTTACTTTTCTCCTTCACATGGCTGCTTGAAACATCCGTTGTTTGTCCTAACCTAGCCTTTGCTCTTCTCACAGCTTCCAAACTGGAAATGCCACCATTGAGCTTGCGAATCATATTGTCGATCTTTTGTTGCTTTAGCTTAGCCTTTGCTTTTCTGACTGCTTTTCGACTTGGAAGGTCTGGTGGCATCTCAAACCTTGAACCTGGAGTCATCCAACGTCTGATGTTGGTCTTCGGGAATTCATGTCGAATTCGAAAAGTGTTCCCTGCCTTGGCTTTCATCTTTGGGGCAGCTTTTGTCTTTTCATCCTCACCATCGCTGTTGCTGCTGCTTGAACTGTCAGATTTCATCCGAGATCTTCACAGGCTCGAATGGGCTGATGCTGACATCATCCGTGTCCTCTGTCTCATCTGCAGCATCCTTCTTTGGTTGGGATCTGTTTCCTTTTCCTTTCTTTGGCACTGGTGATGCCTTGGCTTTGGCTTTGGCCTTGGCTTTTCCTTTTGGCATCTTCATCTTCCCATTCATGATGTCTTCCGTTTGTTGATCTGTCAGACCAACTGTTGAGAAGCCAAGTGCAGCAGCACTTGGGCGACCTCGAGGTGGTCGGACACTTTGCATTCTCTCAGCCTTCTCATCCTCAGCTTCTGACTTTTGCTCCTCTGAACTTGTTGCCTCTTCTTTTCCATTCGGTTTATTCTCCTCACGTTTTGTTTCTTCTTCTTCTTCGGACGGCTCAACCTCCATTGCTTCTGCTGGCTTTGTACCTTCTGCTTTTGAGTCCTCCACCTCTTCCTTTGCAACATCTTCCTCTTCAGAACCCTTTGTGTCCTCCTCTTCATCCTTCTCTGACTCCGCATCATC